TGCATTAAATCTATATAATGATTTTGGGAGAATGGCCATTTTCACAACATTTGTTCTTCCTATCCATAAACAAGGAATGTCTTTCCATTTTCTGAAATCCTCTTCAATTTCTTTTTTCAGAGTACTATAATTTTCAATGTATAGATCTTTTACTTCCTTTGTTAAATTGATTCCTAAATATTTCATTTTTAGGGGGTGCTGTTGTGAAGGGTATAGTTTCTCTTGTTTCTCTCTCAGTGAGTTTGTTGTTGTGTACAGAAATGTTATTGATTTTTGAGTATTGACTTTGTATCTAGCTGTATTACTGAATTTGGTTATTAGATGTAAAAAGTCTTTCAATGGCGTTTTGGGGGTCTTCTATGTAGATATCATGTCATCAGTAATGATCATTTAACTTCTTCTTTTAATATCCTTATTCCTTTTATTTCTTTTTCTCTTGTCTAATTGCTCTGGCTAATGTTTCTAGAACTATATTGAATAAGAGAGATAATAATGGACATCTTGTTTTGTTCCTGATTTTAGGTTAAAACTTTTCAATTTTTGTACACATAGTAAGATGTTGGCTGTTGGTCTATCAGATATGGCTTTTATCAGATTGAGGTAAAGGCCATCTGTTCTGATTTTCTGTAAGGTTTTTATCATGAATAAGTGTTGGACTTTATCAAAAGACTTTTCTACATCTATTGAGATGATCATGTGATTCTTGACTTTGGTTTATTGATGTGTATTACATTTATTGATTTGCATATGTTAAACCATCCCTGTATTCCTGTGATAAATCCCACTTGCTCATGGTGTATAATCTTCTTGATGATTCACTGCATTCTGTTTGCCAGTATTTAATTGAGCATCTTTGCATCTATGTTCATTAGGAAGATTGGCCTGTAGTTATCTTTTTCGGTTGGTCTGCCTCTAGTTTTGGCATTAGGGTAATGCTTGCTTCCAGGAATGAGTCAGGGAGAATTTCTTTCATTTCAATTTGATTGAAGAGTTTGAGGAGTGTTGGCATTAAATTTTTCCTGAATTTCTTGTAGAATTCTGCAGTAAATCCATCATGACCTGGGCTTTTCTTTATTGGTAAGGTTCTAATTACATTTTCAATTTCATTAACTGAAATAGAGTTATTCAGCGGTTTTACATCTTGATTCAGCTTTGGCAATTCTTGTATTTCTAGGAATCTGTCCATTTCTTCTGTGTTATCAAACATAAGAGAGTATAGGTTTTCAAAGTAGGTACTGATGATCTGTATTTCCACAGGGTCTATAATGATTTCACCATTTTCATTCCTTACTGCATGAATTTGAGTTTTTCTTTCCTTTTTTTTTTTATAAGGTTGGCTAAGGGCTTATTAACTTTATTCTTTCAAAGAACCAACTCTCTGATTTGTTCATTCTTTGTACTGTTTTCTTTTTCTCAGTGGTGTTAATTTCTTCTCTGATCTTTATAATTTCCTCCCTTCTTTGGGCTTTGGGCTTGACTTGCTTCTTTTTCTAGATATTTGAAGTGTAGCATCAGGTTGTTTGTGTTTGTTCTGTTTTCCTGATGTGAGAGTTGGCTGCAATAAATTTCCCTCCAAGGACTGCTTTGTGTCCCACAGGTTCTGGAAAGTTGTATTTTCATTTGCTGGTAGATATTATTTAATTTCTTCTTTAATTTCCTCTGTGACCCATTGATTACTTAGGAGGGTATTATTTAATTTCCATGTGTTCATGTAGTTTTTGAGGTTTCTTTTATCATTAATTTCTAACTTCATGGCACTATGGTCATAATTTTCTTTTGCATTTACTCGAGCATGTTCTATGGGCTAGTATATGATCTATTTTAGGAAATGTCCCATGCACAGCCAAGAAGAATGTGTATTCTGATGTTGTTGGGTAAAATACTCTGTACATGTCTACTAAGTTCATTTGCTCACAAATTTGATTCAGTTCTGTTATTTGCTGATTTTTTTCTCTAGTTGATCTGTCTCTTTGGGTTGATGAGATGTTAAGGTCTCTCATTATAATTGTGTTATTGCTTGTTTGATTTTTCATGTCTGTTAATATTTGTTTTATATAGCTGGGTGCTCCCATATTTGGTACATATTTAAGATTATTATCTCTTCCTTTTGAAGTTTTCTCATAACCAGTATGTATCTCTTAATGATCATTTATCTCTTTTGATCATTCTTGGTTTGAAGTTCACACCATCTGTAAACAGAATAGCTACCCCTGCTTTTTTCTGGGTTCCTGTTACATGAAGTATTGTTTTCCATCCTTTGAATTTCAGCCTATGAATTTCCTTTTGAGGTAAATGGGTTTCTTGTATTCAGCATATGATTAGATTTTGTTTCTTGATCCATTCTGCCCTTTCTTTTGACTGAATTGAGGCCACTTACATTAATGGTGACAACTGACATATACTGGCTTATTTCTGTCATGTTTTCATTCTGCTGTTGGTTCCTTACCTTTCTCTTCTGTTTGCCTTGCTTGGTGTTTTTTTTTTTTTTCTGTTGTTCTTGAAATTGTAAATTTTTATGTTTATCTAGAATATCTTTTGGCATTTTTTTTTTTTGTTTTTATCGGTACCAGGGATCGAACTCACGACGGCCTGCTTGCAAGGCAGGCGCTTATGCCGCTGAGCTAAATCCCCAGCCCCTCTTTTGGCATTCTTTATAGGGTTGGTTTAGTGGTCATGAAGTCCTTCAGTTGTTCTTTGTCATGGAAGTCTTATTTCTCCTTCAATATTGAAGGATAGTTTGCAGGGCTCATCAACCTGGGTTGGAAGTTTTCCTTTAAGGATTTGGAATACTTCACTCCATGCTCTTCTTGAGTTATTGTTTGTGTTGAGAAGTCTGTTGTGATTCTGATGGGCTTTCCTTTATAGGTGATTTGTTTCTTTTCTCTAACAGCTTTTAATATTCTGTTTTCATACTGAATTTCTGGGATCCTGATTATTATATGCCAGGGTGTAGATTTATTTTGGTTATGGATAATTGGAGTTCTGTATGCTTCACTTATGTGTATGTCAGTTTCTTTTCCCATGGTTGGGAAATTTTCTGCTATTAGTTCTGCAAATAGATTTTTATTTCATTTGCATTGACACCTTTTTCACTTACACCTATCGAGCTTATATTGTTTTGCTTTGCTTCCTCTTGCCACTGTTGAATTGTTATTTCCTGGCTCCACATTATTTTTTAAAAGATTTTTCCTTTCCTAGTCACTAGCTGCAATCTTGTCTTCAAGGTTTGAAAGTCTATCTTTACATTTATCATTTTTTGTTTCACCTGGGAAATTATTTCTGACCTGATTTCCTTTGCAGCTTCAAGGAGTTGTTTCTTTACTTCTGCTGCTGAAATTTCAGGTGTGTGACTTACACTTTATTTTATGCCCATGTCTCCACACTTTGGGATGGGCTGGAGGTTTGAGATATTTCCTCCTTCATTTTGTCATTTTCCTGTACTCTCCTGGGGCAGCTGAATACAAAGTTCCTGTTGCTTCCTGAATTGGTGATGGCTGTCTGTGCTGGAGAGGATATCCCTGGCTGAGTGGAGGTCACTGGGCTCCCTGGACAGCTGGGGTCATTAGGCAGGCCTTACTCAGGCCCTGTGTGACATACTAAGGCTCCCCAGCTGAATGGAGTTCACTGGGTAGACCTTCAGCAGGCCCTGAGTGGTGCACTGATGTTCCCTGTCTGGTTGGAGTTGCTGGGCAGGGCTTTACTGGGCTCCACGTGGTGTACTGACACTCTCTGGCTGGTCTGGGTCCCTGGACAGGGTTTTACCAGGTCCCATGCAGCACACCAAGGCTCCCCAGCTGGGTGAGATTTGCTGGACAGAACTTCTGCAGGCCTTGCTTGGTGCACTGACGCTCCCTGGCTGGTTGGGGTCACTGGGTGGAATCTTAGCACTTATAACCATTCCTAATCATGTGAAAATTTTCCTTCCTGCCTTCCGTTTAATGCAGTGTGCACATCCATTGAGCCTGTGGTGCCCACATTCACACCATGCCTGGACATGGGGACAGATCATCACAGAGCTCAGGATGGCCTGGGAGCTCACAGTCTCTAACCTGCTGTCTTATAGATTTGCAAAAAGAATGAGGAACTCCAAGATAACAACCAATAACCATGAGTTTTTACTTATCACTGCCCCTTGAAGGTGTGAGCTAATGAATCTGAGTATCTAACACTTGCGATCATGTTATGAAATAACTCAAAGATGCTTATCTGCTATGAGTGAGGGGCTGAGTAAAGTCCCCAGTGCTGGCACATTTTGACCTCTACTGTCCTACCAGGTGCTTGACACTGTCTGTCTGAGCTGCCTAGAAATATATGAACCATTTCTATGTGTTTTACATTAATGCTGTTAAGTGCACCTATTGCCATGGGTCATGTGACCATTGAGGCCTCCTTACAATGATGGACAGGTAGCTTTTGGGGTTTCTGCATCATCTATTTCTTCCAGGCTTATACATAGCTGCTGCAACACCCTGGCATAGTGATTAGATCTTGTATAGCTGAGTGATAGAATGCAGCTCTCTAGAACAGAGCATCAACCCTGGGAACCATGCCTGCATTTACATTTGTCTTTTCCACTTACGGGGCCAAAAGCCTGGATCATTTATCCCTGCACCATCTCTGTCTAAAGAGTGGGAATATTCGCCTATTGAAATATTCTGAGATGAGAATTTAGGTTACTAATGCATGAATCAGAATACGCAGTGCTGCCAGATTCTCTTCTTCCTCTTTTTTTAAATGTGGGGATGTATTTTTTGAGGAGATGCACGCCCCCACAAACACATGCACAATCATGACACTTCATCCATACAAAGTCACGTTACTGAAATGACACAGCTGCTTCCAGGGACACGGCCATAGTTCTTCAGCTTCTTTCCCCATCCCCCTGACCCTCCTTTTCTGCAGGAATCTGAAGCCAGAGTGGCTCTCTAAACAAAAACAAGGAAGTCCCACCATTTTCAGCACTTAGATTTTTGCACAGCACGTAAGCTTGGAATACATACAGTTTCCATTTGCTGTGGGCTCCGCCTGCTGTGACAAAAGGGGAGACACTGTAAGGATCATGTCGGTCACATCATGCCCAGTCTTGTTGATACAGATGCTTTGTTCACTATGGTGATATTAGAAAACTAGAGGGGAAAACTGGTCTAAACCTTGACCTCAAATGAAGCACATAGAGTATCCTTCCTCAAAGGTGAACACTTTGTGTAGACATTTCCCAAATCTATCTTGATTAGCAAATACAAAATTCTTAAGAAAAAGTACAATTCAGGAAAACGTTCACCATTATACAGTTGATAATTGATGCTGTCATACATGAATGCCATCTTTCTATGTTATTTTTATTTTTGTAGTACTGAGGATTGAACCTGGGATTTTCACAGTAGCTGTGTCCCCAGCTTTGTCTTTTATATGACACAGGTGCACTAAGTTGCTAAGTTGCTCAGGTTGGGCTTAAATTTTTGGTCTTCTTGGTTCAACTTCTCACAGAGCTGATATTATACACTCGTGCTAGATACCACGCTCAGTTGAATACCATCTTGAATCAAGTATCATTTGGTAACAGACACAGTTGATAATTCATTACCAAACAAAACCATGAAGGTCATCTATTAGGTACGTGATCAGACTTTCCTATCGGAGTTTGATTGAAAAAGGGAGAAACCAGGAAAACCACATTTCCATTTCAGACAAAGAAATTCAAATTTACCATGGCAATAAATTGTTTCTCGTCCTCTGCAGAGTCGCAGGGAACAACCTCCATCAGGACCTTAGTAGAATCTAGGAAAAAGTAGAGAAACTGTTATTACATAGCTGTGGCTGAACAATGACTCTGCCAGTTTCAAACAGGTAGCTGATTACAATGTACAAAAGCTGGCACTCGTGGGACATGCTCCTGGGTGGACGCAGGAAGAAGAAGGAATAAGACAGGAAAAAGAAAAACCAGACAAAACGGAAGGCACTGCATTGAGATAGGTCAGTCCACTGCTACCGAGGAAGAGTCCAGCACCCTTTATTACTCGACAGATCCAGCGGGAATAAATAAGTGAGGGTAAAGTGGAGCACAGAGATGGGTCAAATTCTATCTGTAAAATATGTATTAAATTTCTAATCCAGTTCCTAAGGATTTGACCTTATTTGGACATAGAATCACTGATGCTATATTCCCCTAGTGGTCACATTGGACAGCAGGTGAGATCCTACCTAATATGATCGTTTCTTAATTTCTTTTTTTTTTTTTTTTGTGGTCCGGGATCAAACTCACGACCTCACACTTGCCAGGCTTATGCCGCTGAGCTAAATCCCCAGCCCTTTTTTTTTAATAAAGAGAAGAGACAGAGCCCTGAGGGGAGAATGCCATATGGTGATGGGAGAAGACTAAAGCAACAGCAGCTAAGCAGGAGTAACAAGAGATCCTTCTCTAGAGATTTCAGGAGGAGGATGGTCCTGTCTGTGCCTTGAGGTTGGACTTCCGGCCTCCTTAACAATGAGATGATGTGTTTATTTAAAGACAATCTGGTGCTTGGCCCTGAGAGACACAGGAAAGTAATAAAATCACTAGCGGTCTACTAGACCTCCTTCACATCTGTACACTTCAGTCAGCAGTAGGGTACCACTGTTCTCAAAGCCACGTTTCACACCCATCATTGCGGATCATAAGTCATACCCTGACATGTTGAAGAGGAGGCCATAATACAAAATACACTCTCAGACCACTATGGGATTAAACTAAAGTTCGACGACAGAAAGAAAATTGGAAATTTTCTCAGTATTTGGAGACTAAACCACAGATTCTTCAAATGTAAGGCCAACTTAAGTTACATGAGACCCTGCTTCAAAATAATTATATCTTGTGGATTTTTAAGATACAGTGAAACCAATTCTCAGGAAATTTATAGCATTGCATGGAATATTACATAAAATAAAAAGACCTACACTTAATAATGTTAGCTTCCATGATAAGAAATTAGGGAATAAGACAATGTAATATAAAGCAGACAAAAGAAAAAATAGCCATTATGAGAGAGATCAATGCAATGAAAACTTGAAAATCAACAAACTCAAAATGTAGTTCTCTGAAACAATCAGCAAAATTGATAAACCTCTAGTGTGGTTAAGCACAATGAAAAATAAAAGACACAAAGGACTAGCACTGTAAAGCAAAGAGAAGTAATCTGTATTGATTCTATAGATTAAGAGGGATATTTTGAAAAATTCTTTGCCCATAAACTGGATAGCTTGGCAGAAATGCTCCAGTTCCTCAAAGGTAGAAAGTTGCAAAAGTTACACAAAGAGAAACAATCTAACAGTCCTATTTACATTGAAGACTTTGAATCAATAATTGATAAATTCCCCCCCAAAAAGAATGCATCAGACCTAAAAGGGTTCACTTTTGAATCCTAGTACTTAAAAAGGTAAAATTAATCTTAACATAAAAGGAAAGTTCAGAATCTCTAGGTATCTATCCAATTAAATTACAATGTCCACACAAAAACCTGCAGAGACATGTTTTTGGCAATTTTATTCCAGGTTGCTCAAATGGGAAGCTGTGAGGATGCTCCTCGATAAAAGAATTATTAACAAATTTAAGTGTACAAGGAATATCATGTACTAAATGTTATAAACATCACAACTGTATGGTGCTAAGCAATAGATAAAGCTGCAGAGATTATGATTCTAACTATATGAAATCAAGGGCAAGTAAAAGTACAGAGACTAAATATTTCGGTAGTTACCAGAGGTTCCATGAGAAAGTGAGAGGGATGAATAGAGAAAATATTTTGGGCAGAGAAACTGTTCACAATAGTGATAAATAACCGAGTGCTTGTTGAACCCCAAAGAACCATGCAGTTTACCTAGTGAGAGCTCTGGGCTGTAGTTAATAACAGCCTATCATTATTGATTCTATCCTTATAGTCAATAAATTCCATAGCATAAGATGTTATTTTTAAAATGCAACTGATGGGTGAGGGAGAAGGATTCAAGTTCTGTACTATCTGTTCCTTTTGTTGTTCATCTAAAATTATTCTAAATAATGCCTTGATTTTTTAAAAAGAAATCGGGCAACAGTATTGCACAAAGAGTTATATTTCAGTAAGGACCAAAATCAGGTAACTGTCTGAACATCCAAGTGAGACATTTATTCACTCACAACTTCAGCTGTAAGCAGATCCTCACTTCTGTAGTTGTAAAACTACTGATTAAATTAACAAATTTAAATTTGCATGCATCTAATAAAAGAATATGGCTTAGCATGTTTAGCGTTTTCTCGGAACTATGGGACACAGGGAAGCCAGACCCATTGCTCAGGACTGCACGTGACGACTGAAGTTGCACAGTACCTCCATCCTTGTCCCTTTCAGGGTATGCGCTTTCCGGCAGCCACAGGCGGACTCTTCTGCAGCACTTGTTGGAGTGAACAATAGACTGTCTTGACATAGAAGGAACTATTTCCGCATCCAGGAGGCAAGAGCCTGGGAAACGTGTTACAATAGAGATAGCTGTTAACGTCATACTGGCAGAAAGACCTTAGTTTATATTAGGAATAATGACCCACACCTCAGCTTTTTAATTGACACAAAAGTTATACACATGTTGGGGTCCAAGTGTGATGTTTTGATGCATGTATACACTGTTCGATGATAGGATAGTAAACACCTTAAACATCTGTGATTCTTTGTGATAAGAACAATCTTGGCATTTGTGAAACATGGAGATGGATCTGGAGGTACTTGAACTCGCAGCCCTCAGAGTGCCCCACCGCTGCCATTGTCCGCAAGGCCTGGCCCATCCTGGGCCATGAGCCAAGGACAGGCAAGCCACTGGCCAGTGAGGAGCGAGGTCAGGCAGGCCCTGAAATTCAAGAGTTTAAGTGTCGCTCCCACAGTCAGTGTAGAAGATGGTCTGGGACAGGAATGCTCGGATTCCCCGGGGATGTCTCTCCCTGAACACCCGAGGCCTCCAGATCCTGCCACGGAAGCCTGAACCCAGAGCTCTTCTTCCTCTCTTTCCCGAATCCTCCGGCCCCAAAGTTTCCCCTGGAAGACTGACACCCTAATTTCTGAGCCGAGAAAGTAGCCGAGTCATAACCAGTCTTCAGTCATCAGAGTTTAATTCCTGATCTAAAAGAGACATGTTTCCTTCTCAAGAAGACATCTTAAGGAGACGGGTGGCTTCCAGCACCTGCTCTGAGTACCACCTTTCTGCCCATGGCCTTCCTGCCATGCTGGCCCTCAGCACCTCCTACCCCTTCCTAGACCCTGTGGGAAGGGGCAGACTCTTTCCTAGGGCGATCAGACCACTGCCAGGCTTCGAACCTCCAGGACTCTCTCTGAGGGTCACTCTTGTGGCCTTCATCACCAACTGTCCACTCCACTGACCTGATAGCACTGTCCAGGTCACTACTCTCCCAGGAGCCCCACTGCGGCCTGGACAGATGGATGACTCTGGAATTCCCCTTTTGTAGAATGTCTGCTGCTGGATTTAATGTCAAGAACCTCCTGATCTGAGGGCAGCAGCCTGGGCCTGCTCCCCCACATCTATTCTCTCACATAGTGTGTACAAAACCTGCGTTGGGAAATATAAATTCCCCTAAATGTGGTAAAATATTTAAGGTGACCATCTTGATAGGAGAATCAAAAGTATAAATTAAGTAGCGAGAGACAACTATAAAGTACTTTGTAAAAACCAGAGAAACTGGACAGAGAAAATGAAAAAACTTGAGTCAAGAAACTTGTACCCGAGGAAGTAGTCCTCCGAGGAGCCATCTGAACGTACCTGTACAGCAGTTTCCCATCTCCAGAGATGTCACCAGCACTGTGGTAATGGTATAACAGCTCTCAGATCGCAGAGTGACAGTTGAAATGGAAGGCAAGATGTCCATCATCATTACCATGGCAACAGGTCAGCATAGGTTTTCAGAGGGAGCCCAGGCCACGGTGCGCAGTGCGGCTACACCGCTATCTGACAAGCCTGTTCCCACGTGTCCAAGCGTGTCTTCAAAGCATACACGGCTTACTTCACAAACTGAATCCCCACCAACACATCCCTAGGCTACGAGAACAAGTTAAATGAAGAAAGAAACCTGTCCTGCTCCCCAGTAGTTTCATTAATCATGAACATTTTAGGGTGAAGAGGGACAAAGCCAATACTGGAAGCTGATAATGGAAACAGGTTCCAGGCTTTAACTGCAATAGCCACCCTGCCCTCTTCCACTAACCCTGACTCATCAGCTATTTCTAGCTCAAATTATAGTGTTTCAGGTGACGGTTAGAACCATACAGAAAGAATGATCATTGAATATGTGATACCATTCGAGTGTAAGAAAGAGTTACATTATTCACCACTTATTAGAAAACTGAAAACACAATTGTTTTATAAATTCCTCACCAGTTCATCCGATCACTAGGGTTAACCTTGCCTGTTCCCTGACACCCCTCCTCAGTCCTTTTGCTCAAAGGGCAACTTCCTGAGTCCCCCGGTTCCCAGAGGAGTCATGAGAAAGGAACAAAATTAACTCCTTTCTAGAAAGGATGTACAAAAGCAGTCAATCCACTTAATGTGTGATCAATAAAGTAACATTGTGTTCAAATAATTACGTTTAAATGAAGAAAGGCCAGTTTGCCTCACTGTGATGATTTCTGTCTGAGCACCTGGGCGCCCTGAGCAAATGCACCGTGGTCTCCACCTTGGTTTGCTCCTCACACTCTGCAGTGTCTGAAACCCCTTAACAGCTTAATGATAAATTATAATAAAAGTTGTTCCTGTGAGTTTTAAAACTTTTCAGCATCACAGATAAACAAAAGGAAATAACAAAATTCAAATTTTGTCAGTGGAATGCATGCTCCCATGACCTGCCGCGTATCAGCATGGCCTTGTGGGAAAGAAGGCTAGAGGAGGAGAAAATAAAGAAAAGACAGGAAAGGTGAGGTCCGGCGGACCCCTATCCTGATGGGAGAAAAGGAAGTGCTCAACCATCACAGCACATGTATTTATACACTTAGGAGAATGATGTCAATTTCAACCCCTCTGCCTAGCAACTTTTTTGCCCTGCTGACCTGGGCCCCTTGCCTTCCGGGAGCTGGGACAGCTTGCTTATGGCTCCCTCCAATGACCTTTGGTATGAATGTAAACACATTTGACAAAATGGAAAACGTAATCCATACTGAACAATCTAGTTTAGCATTATAAGCAAAGTTATAAGTGTATACTGTAGATCAGAAATCTGTCCATACTCATCAATGATGAAAAAGGCCCCCAAATAACCTGTGAAATTAGTTTGTTAGGTTTAATGTAAATATAATGTTAGCTGAGTCTTATGTTCCTATCAAAGAAGAATGTACTATCAGGATTAAGGAATTGGCTAAAGTGACTGTCAAATGGGAAAATATCACCAATAGAAATCTCTTTGCTGCTCTAATTAAATAAAAATCTAAAGCTAGGGACACATAGCAGGGTGTGTCTTGAAAACAAGAAGGATCCTCCCCAGTGAATGACCTTCACGCATCTGTCACACAAGACTTCAGCTACTCTTCAAGCAGCTGTAGAACTGTGAATTCCAACAGACGAGGTGAGTCCAGTCTTGAGGTTTTGTTTTCCCCTCTTAGATGCCTCTAAGAATGGTGGTTGAAACAGGAACATGAAAGGAACGTGGTCACTGATAAATCCCAAGTGCTATCTGCCTGTCAACTCAGAGTCAGAAAGTCAGCTACACTGGGTCCCGCCCTGTAGGAAAGGTGAGTAATGAATTTTTATTCACTTCCAGGGCTCTAGCAAGGATGGATGCATTCATGAATCAGGGTTCCTTAAAGGGAAGTGAGATGATAGCGCCTTTCTGCTTCGAACACAGATGCTGCTGGGTCACATCTATCAGCACGGCTGGACGGCCCAATGAGCGTGGACCTTTCCTCCATTACTGCTCGAACAATGACCCATAAACTCTTTTCCAGATAGAAACTCAAAGTATCTCAAGGCGAAGGTGTAGCTCGCTGTAGAGCTTCCCTGGGTTCAATCCCCTCATACTGCAAAAAAGAAAAATAAATAAATAAAATATTCAAACTCATAAAAAGACAGCCCTGTGGTTTTGAGGGCTTGAAGATTTGGAGGAAAAAGGACAGAAATGTCTGTTCAATGGGTATAAAGCTTAGGTTATGCAGGATTGGTACAGACAGTCCTTTAACGAGCAGCATGTTCAATGACTACTCAGATTTCTGATCATGTCACACTGTTCAGACTTACGACCCTTGGCTCAGACTTACGACATGATTTTTGTTGTTGTTCGTTTTGTTTAGAGAGTTTCAATGCCTTTTTTGTACAGTGTGCCTCATACTGTAATTTTGTGCAGTACTATATGTACGATAATTTTTGCCAATTGTCCTGTACGGTACAGGACTGAAATTTTATGTTGCTGAACATTACAACACTGTATATAGGAGTCACATGAGTAAAAGCAAAGTCATCCAGTGGGAGCCGCCTTTGGCCACAGCTTTGTTCTGAATACTGGAAAGTACATACTGTATACAGCTCCTCATTTAGCAACCAATTCATTTAACGACCTCGTCACAGGAGCAGAACTCTGTCATTAAACGAGGAACATCTATACAGTCTAGAGGGCCGCTGCTGTATATCTATCTGTATACCTATAGATAGCACTACTGCAGTGCACACCTAAAATGTTAGGATGACATACTCTGTGTTGTTTTCTTTTTTATTTTTATGAATGAAGGCTTTTTAAAATCTTTTGGGAAGATTCCAGTAATGTAATAGCTGGACTAATAGAATTTCTAGTTTTAATTTTTTTGAGCAGTCTGCATCTTGCTTCCACAGTGTTCAAACTAGTTTACATCCCCACCAACAATGTAGCAGAGTTCCTTTCCCCGCACTGCTTCGCCAACATTTGGTATTATTTGATTCCTTGATGGTAGCCATTCTTTCTGGAGTAAGATGGAATGTCTCAGTGTTGTTTTAATTTGCCTTTCTCTGACGGCCAGCAATGCTAAACACTGTGTCTTATATGTATTGGCCATTGGTACTTCTTCTGGGAAGTGTTTGTTCATTTCAGTTGCCTAGTTTTTGATAGAATCTTTTATTTTGGGATGTTCTAATGTTTTGAGTACTTTATGCATTCTGTGTATTAGTCCTCTGTCTGAGAATTTTTCCATTCCATAGGTTGTCTCTTCACCTCATTGGTTGTTTCCTTTGCGCTGCGGAAGATTTTTAATTTAACATGATCTCATTTATTGACTTTTTTATATTTCTTGAGCAATGAGAATCTATTCAAAAAGCCCTTACCTATGTCTTCTTCAAGAGTTGTATCTATTTTATCTTTCAGTAAATGGTTTCTGTTCAATCTTTGATCCATGTTGATTTTAGTTTAATACATGATAAGAAATATAGGCAGTTTTCCTACTACCATTTGTTAAAGAAGCTATCTTTCCTCCAACATATATTTTTGGCACCTTTGTAAAAGATCAGAAAAGTGAATGTGGCTGGGGATGTTTCTGTATCTTCTATTGTATTCCACTGATCCATGTGTCTGTTTTTGTGGCAATGCCATGATGTTTCTATTATTGTAGCTTTGTGATATAACCCAAGCTACAGGACTGTTGTAATGCCTCCTCTCTAGCACTTTGTTGCTCAGGATTACTTTTGCTCTTCTGGTTCCATATGAAATTTAGGATGATTTTCTCTAGTTCTGTAAGGAACACTGTAGATATCTTGATTGGGAGTGTTTTGAATCTATATATCAGTTTGGAAGTATGACTATTTGACTATCTTGGTTCTTCTTCTCCTGGAAAAAAATGACACCTTTCCATTTTCTGTTGTACTCTTCAAATCTCCTTTTTCAAAATATTATAGTTACCCAGGAGGTCTTTCATGTCCTTGGATAGGTAAATTTCTAAGTATTTTATTGATGCTATTGTGAATGACTTTGTTTTTCTAATTTCTTTCTTACTGAGTTCATTATTGGTGTACAGGAATGCTGTTGATTTTTTTGTGTTGATTTTATATTCTGCTACATTTCTGAATTTGGTTATTAATTGTAGGAGTCTTGTGATGGAATATTTGGGTATTATATGTCGAGGATCACACCTTTTGCACCTGGTGGTATTGGCTTCTCCCTTTCCTGTACCTGTCCTCCTCCTTTGATTCTCTTGCCTCACTGCTCTGGCTAATGTTTCGAAGGCTATGCCAAAAATAAGTGATGGTAGGGGGTGTCCTTGCCTTGTTCTTGATTTTAGAAGCGAAGCTTTCAGTTTTTCCATTTAATATGATGGTGACTGTTGATTTGTCATAAATGACTTTTAATAACCTATTTTCTTCATGTTTTTCTAAAATCATGAATGAGTGTTGGATTTTTTTCAAGTTTTCCTGCATCTACTGATATGATTATGTGGTTTTTGTCTTTATTTCTATTAATGTGATGTACTGCATTTATTGATTAGCATATCTTGCAATCCTGGGATAAAACCTACTTCCTCATGACCTATGATCCTTTTGATGATCTTTCACATTTTATTTGTCAATATCATTGAGGATTTTGCTATTGTTCTAATTACTATCAGATCATTTTTTCAGTTGTCTTTGTCTGGTTTGGGGATGAATGGTTCTGACTTCCAGAGATGCGTTTAGGAGCATTCAGTCCATTTCATTGTCACTGAAGAATCTGAGGAGAGTTGGTGTTAAATATCCTGAAAGGTCTTGTGGGATTCAGCAATGAATCCATCAAATCCTGTGCTTTTTTTAAGTTTGTGGGATTTTCATTGCTCCATCAATTTCATGGCTTGTTATTGTATTATTCAGAATTTTAATGTCTTCTTGATTTAGTTTTGGTAATACATATATGAGTCTAGGAACCTGTCCATTTCTTTGAGATTTTCCAGTATTTGGAATACA